TGGGAGTGGGGACATTGCTGGGAATGGGGACATTGCTGGGAATGGGGACATTGCTGGAAATGGGGAAAATTCTGGGAATGGGGAAAATTCTGGGAGTGGGGAAAATTCTGGGATGGGGAAAATTCTGGGAGTGGGGGAAATTCTGGGAGTGGGGGAAATTCTGGGAGTGGGGAAAATTCTGGGATGGGGAAAATTCTGGGAGTGGGGAAAATTCTGGGATGGGGAAAATTCTGGGAGTGGGGACATTTCTGGGTGTGGGGACATTTCTGGGAATGGGGAAAATTCTAGGAATGTTTCTGGGAATGGGGACATTGTAGGGAATGGGGACATTTTTGGGAATGGAGACATTTCTGGGAATGGGGACGTTTCTGGGAATTGGGATATTTCTGGGTGTGGGGACATTGCTGGGAATGGAGACATTTCTGGAAATGGGGACGTTGCTGAGAATGAGGATGCTCTGGGAATGGGGGCATTGCTGGAATGGAGACATTTCTGGAAATGGGGACATTTCTGGGAATGGGGACATTGATGGGAATGTGGACCTTTCTAGGCGTGGGGACGCTGCAGGAAATGGGGACATTTCTGGGAATGGGGACGCTGCTGGGAATGGGGACACTGCTGGGAATGGGGATATGCTGGGAATGGGGATGTCACTGGGGTTGGGGACATTTCTGGGAATGAGGAAAACTCTGACAATGGGGGCATTTCTGGGAATGAGGACATTGCTGGGAATGGGGGAAATTCTGGGAGTAGGGACATTTCTGGGAATGGGGATGTTTTGGGGAACGGGGACATTTTTGGAAATGGGGACTCTGCAGGAAATGGGGACATTTCTGGGAATGGAGACACTGCTGGTAGTGAGGACATTGCTGGAAGTGGGGAAAATTCTGGGAATGGGGACATTGCTGGAATGGGGACGCTGCTGGTAACGGGGACATTGCTGGGAATGGGGACATTGCTGGAATGGGGACATTGCTGGGACTGGGGACATTTCTGAAAATGGCATTGTTTTGTGAATGGGGACATTTCTGGGAACGGGGACTTTCTAGGAATGAGGACATTTCTGTGAGTGGGGACATTTCTGAAAATGGCGTTGTTTTTGTGAATGGGGACATTTCTGGAAATGAGGATATTTCTCCCAGCACTAAAAAATTCAGGGCAAGAGTGGAAAAAGCAAAAATCACCAGGGTGAGGTTGTGCCGTTCTGAGCGAAGCAGTGACACAGGACCAGGACCCAAAACCCGCCGGCAACGGGACAAAAAGATTTCCTCTCTCCCTAAACATTCCTCTCTTCCTCTGTGGGATTTCCCATCCCCGAAAATCCATTTCTCCGCCGCGCCTCCCCCTGCCCTCATCCCATTCCTTTTCCCTCGGGGTTTTTGAAGCATTTCCCAAAATCCCATTGCACAGAGATTCTTTTGTTCATCCCCGGCCGATGTCAGAACTTGCAGCNGTGACACAGGACCAGGACCCAAAACCCGCCGGCAACGGGACAAAAAGATTTCCTCTCTCCCTAAACATTCCTCTCTTCCTCTGTGGGATTTCCCATCCCCGAAAATCCATTTCTCCGCCGCGCCTCCCCCTGCCCTCATCCCATTCCTTTTCCCTCGGGGTTTTTGAAGCATTTCCCAAAATCCCATTGCACAGAGATTCTTTTGTTCATCCCCGGCCGATGTCAGAACTTGCAGCRCGTCCTTGGGCGAGAGCAGCAAAAGATTCTTTTAATCTCTCCTGGTTTATTTTTAACGGAGGTGGAGGTGATTTTCATCTCAGGAAGGCGATTTGGAGATAATTTTTTGGGAAGGGGAGTCGCCCACAAATGCTGGCTCAGAGTGAATTTTTTTTGTTGTTGTTGTTTTCAGGAGTTGTTGTTGGGATTTTTTTTTATTTTGTTCTCTGGTTCAGCTTCTCCGTAATTTTAAAGTTTGGTGAAATTCAGAGTTTTTGGCTGCCTGTAAAAACAGAGCATTCGGGGTGATCCGTGTGGCCAAACAATGGTTTTAACTCTACTTCTGTCCCTTCCTGAATTCTCCTTTCCTTTTCNTGGAATTTGGGGTTTGGAATGAGAGGATCTTTAAGGTTCCTCCCAGCCCAAACCCGTTCTGTGATTCCATCCTGAAAACAAACCCGACGCCAGCGGGAAATTCCAGATCTCTGTAAAGCACCATCCAGGGGTTTGTTGGGAATGGGGAGATTTATGGGAATGGGGGAAATTCCGGGAGTGGGGAAAATTCCATGAGTGGGGGAAATTCTGGGAATGGGGACATTGATGGGAATGGGGAAAATTCTGGGAATGGGGACATTTTTGGGAATGGGGACATTTCTGGGAATGGGGACATTTTTGGGAATGGGGACATTTCTGGGAATGGGGACATTTCTGGGAATGGGGGCGTTTCTGGGAATGGGGGCATTGATGGGAATGGGGGCGTTTCTGGAAATGGGGAAAATTCTGGGAGTGGGGTCATTTCTGGGAGTGGGGACATTTTTGGGAATGGGGAAAATTCCGGGAGTGGGGACATTTCTGGGAGTGGGGACGTTTTTGGGAATGGGGACATTGCTGAGAATGGGGACATTGCGGGGAATGGGGACATTGATGGGAATTGGGACCTTTCTAGGAATGAGGACGCTGCAGGAAATGGGGACACTTCTGGGAATGGGGACATTTTTGGGAATGGGGACATTTTTGGGAATGGGGACGCTCTGAGAATGGGGACATTGCTGAGAATGGGGACATTGATGAGAATGGGGACATTTCTGGGAATGGGGACATTTCTGGGTGTGGGGACATTTCTGGGAATGGGGACATTTCTGGGTGTGGGGACATTTCTGGGAATGGGGACACTGCTGAGAATGGGGACGCTCTGGGAATGGGGACATTTCTGGAATGGGGACATTGCTGGGACTGGGGACGTTTCTGGGAATGTGGACCTTTCTAGGAATGAGTACATTTCTAGGAATGGGGACTTGGCTGGGACTGGGGACATTTCTGTGAGTGGAGACATTTCTGAAAATGGCGTTGCTTTTGTGAATGGGGACATTTCTGGAAATGGGGACATTTCTCCCAGCACTAAAAATTCAGCAGAAGAGGGGAAAAAGCGAAAAACACCGGGGTGAGGTTGTGCTGCTCTGAGCAAAGCGGTGACACAGGACCAGGACCCAAAACCCGTTGGCAACGGGACAAAAAGATTTCCTCTCTCCCTAAACATTCCTCTCTTCCTCTGTGGGATTTCCCATCCCCGAAAATCCATTTCTCCGCCGCGCCTCCCCCTGCCCTCATCCCATTCCTTTTCCCTCGGGGTTTTTGAAGCATTTCCCAAAATCCCATTGCACAGAGATTCTTTTGTTCATCCCCGGCCGATGTCAGAACTTGCAGCACGTCCTTGGGCGAGAGCAGCAAAAGATTCTTTTAATCTCTCCTGGTTTATTTTTAACGGAGGTGGAGGTGATTTTCATCTCAGGAAGGCGATTTGGAGATAATTTTTTGGGAAGGGGAGTCGCCCACAAATGCTGGCTCAGAGTGAATTTTTTTTGTTGTTGTTGTTTTCAGGAGTTGTTGTTGGGATTTTTTTTTTATTTTGTTCTCTGGTTCAGCTTCTCCGTAATTTTAAAGTTTGGTGAAATTCAGAGTTTTTGGCTGCCTGTAAAAACAGAGCATTCGGGGTGATCCGTGTGGCCAAACAATGGTTTTAACTCTACTTCTGTCCCTTCCTGAATTCTCCTTTCCTTTTCTGCCCCATGGTGAACCTGGGAATGTTCCCGGGGTGATTTCCTATTTCTCTTTCAGCCCTTCCACCCCATGGTAAACCAGGAATGCTCTTGGGATTTCCGGCCCTGGTTCCTGATTTCCTGTTTCCTTTTTATCCCTTCCACCCCATGGTGAACCTGGAATTCTCCTGGGATTTCCAGCCCTTCCTGCACTGCTTTCCTTAATTCTCCTTTCCTGTTCTACCCAATGGTGAACCTGGGAATGTTCCTGGGATTCCCAGCCCTTCCTGTGCTCTGAATTCCTATTTCCCCCTCAACCCTTCCACTCCATGGTGAACCGGGAATATTCCCAGGATTTCCAGCCCTTCTTGTGCTCTGAATTCCTGTTTCTCTTTCATCCCTTCCTCCCCATGGTGAATTTGGAATGCTCATGCTCTGAATTTCTCTTCCATCTCTTCCACCCGATGGTGAATTTGCAATGCTCATGGTCTGATTTCCCGTTTCTCTTCCAGCCCTTCCACCCGATGGTGAATTTGGAATGCTCATGCTCTGATTTCCTGTTTCTCTTCCAGCCCTTCCACCCCATGGTGAACCAGGAATGCTCATGGTCTGAATTTCTCTTTCCCTTCCAGCCCTTCCACCCGATGGTGAATTTGGAATGCTCATGTTCTGAATTCCCGTTTCTCTTCCAGCCCTTCCACCCGAATTTGGAATGCTCCCACGATTTCCGTCCATTCCTGTGCTCTGATTTCCCGTTTCTCTTCCAGCCCTTCCACCCCATGGTGAATTTGGAATGCTCATGCTCTGAATTTCCCGTTTTTCCTTCAGCCTTTCCACCCAATGGTGAATTTGGAATGCTCATGGTTTGAATTTCTCTTTCTCTTCCAGCCGTTCCACCCAATGGTGAATTTGGAATGCTCATGTTCTGATTTCCCGTTTCTCTTCCAGCCCTTCCACCCGATGGTGAATTTGGAATGTTCCCGTGATTTCCGCCCGTTCCTGTGCGCTCTCTACGCCCCGGTGTGCATGGAGTACGGCCGGGTGACGCTGCCGTGCCGCCGCCTGTGCCAGCGCGCCCACAGCGAGTGCTCCAAGCTCATGGAGATGTTCGGCGTCTCCTGGCCCGAGGACATGGAGTGCACCAGGTCAGAAAATCTCTTTTTTTTTTTCCAAATCAAAATTTCCAAAATTTCGCTCTGATCCAGGGTCTTTTGTAGTCTTCAATAAATGTTTTCCGGATTTTCCTTCCCGTTTTCCAGAATGGGGAGTGAATTCTCATTTCGTCTTTCCAATAAATCAGTTGAAAATCAGCGGGGTTTGATGAGGATTTCAGCTATTTTCACTTTTTTTTTTACCTTATTTCTGCAAGGTAAAACTGTTTTCAGTCTTATATTAAACAAAAAATTACCCAGAAAAAGGAGTCAATACCTTGCAGAAATAAATTTATGGAAAAATGAGTCAATGATGTCCTGAGCTGTTTGAAGCAGAACGTGCGTTATTTTTAAATTGAATTTTAATTGAATATTTATTTATTTTATTTATTTTGATGTTTTTAGTTGAATTTTAATTGAACGTTAATTTCATTTATTTATTTTTATTGTTTTATTTTTTTAATGGAATTTAAATTAAATGTTTAATTTATTTATTTTTATTTGTTAATTTTTAAATGGAATTTCAATTGAATAATTATTTTATTTATGTTATTGTTTTATTTTTTAAATGGAATTTTAATTAAATATGTAATTTATTTCTTTTTATTTGTTTATTTTTAAATGGAATTTTAATTGAATGATTATTTTATTTATTTTTATTGTTTTACTTTTAAATTGAACTTTATTGAATATTTATTTTATTTTATTTTATTTTATTTTATTTTATTTATTTTTATTTTATTTTAAAATGGAATTTTAATGGAATACATATTTTATTTATTTGTATTGTTTTGTTTTTAAATTGAATTTTAATGGAATATTTATTTTTTATTTGTATTTTATTTTTAAATTTAATTTTAATTGAATATTTATTTTATTTATTTTATTGGTTTTTAATTGAACTTAAATTGAATATTTATTTTTATTGTTTTATTTTTTAATTGAATTTTAATTGAATATTTATTTTAATTTTATTTATTTATTTATCTATTTTATGAGGTTCACTGTTGTTTCCATCTCTTGGGGTTGGGCACAGTGAGATGTCCTTAAATTTGGGGCTGGAGAGGAATTGTTTTGTGTAAAAATGGGAGAAGAGCAGCAGCTTGGAACTGTCCAATTCTAAAGAATTACAGGGTCACAGAAATGTGAAAATACAGAATTTATTGAATAATTCAATTTATAAATATACTGAATTCAATGTTGCATCTTGGGATGAGTTTGTGAGTAAATCGCGCACAATTTCATGGATTCCCCCTTTTTTGGATTGCCCGGTTCAGCTCCGGTTGGTTTTCCCAAAGTCCCACCTAGASCTGAGCTTACCACGCCTTGTAAAGCGCGAGTTAATTCCTCGTAAACTCCTCTTTGCAGGTTCCCGGACTGTGACGAGCCCTACCCTCGCCTGGTGGATCTCAGCTCGGCCGCCGAGCCCACGGAGGAGGCTCCGGCCGCCGTTCAGCGCGATTACGGCTTCTGGTGTCCCCGCGAGCTGAAAATCGACCCGGAGCTGGGCTACTCCTTCCTCCGCGTGCGCGACTGCTCCCCGCCGTGCCCCAACATGTATTTCCGCCGCGAGGAGCTCTCCTTCGCCCGCTACTTCATCGGCGTCATCTCCATCGTCTGCCTGTCGGCCACGCTCTTCACCTTCCTCACCTTCCTCATTGACGTCACGCGTTTCCGCTACCCGGAGCGCCCCATCATCTTCTACGCCGTCTGCTACATGATGGTGTCGCTCATCTTCTTCGTGGGCTTCCTGCTGGAGGACCGCGTGGCCTGCAACGCCTCCAGCCCCTCGCAGTACAAAGCGGCCACGGTGACGCAGGGCTCGCACAACAAAGCCTGCACCATGCTCTTCATGGTGCTCTACTTCTTCACCATGGCCGGCAGCGTCTGGTGGGTGATCCTCACCATCACCTGGTTCTTGGCCGCCGTGCCCAAATGGGGCAGCGAGGCCATCGAGAAGAAAGCGCTGCTGTTCCACGCCAGCGCCTGGGGCATCCCGGGCACGCTGACCRTCGTCCTGCTGGCCATGAACAAAATCGAGGGTGACAACATCAGCGGCGTCTGCTTCGTCGGCCTCTACGACGTGGACGCGCTGCGCTATTTCGTGCTGGCGCCGCTGTGCCTCTACGTGGTGGTGGGAGTGTCCCTCCTCCTGGCCGGCATYATCTCCCTCAACCGCGTGCGCATCGAGATCCCGCTGGAGAAGGAGAACCAGGACAAGCTGGTCAAGTTCATGATCCGCATCGGCGTTTTCAGCGTGCTCTACCTGGTGCCGCTGCTGGTGGTGATCGGCTGCTATTTCTACGAGCAGGCGAATCGCGGCGTSTGGGAGACCACGTGGATCCAGGAGCGCTGCCGGGAATATCATATTCCCTGTCCTTTCCAGGTGAGGAACGCGAATCGGAGCGCCGCGGATTCCTGGTGCTGGCTCATCCAGTTGGGATGAAACAGAATTTAGAGGATAAAAATTGTATTTATTGCAGTGATATTTATGGAATATTGAATATTCCAGGCTGGGATAAAACAGAATTTAGAGAATAAAAATTGGATTTATTGCAGTGATATTTATGGAGTATTGAATATTCCAGGCTGGGATAAAACAGAATTTAGAGAATAAAAATTGGATTTATTGCAGTGATAGTGAATATGAATGCTGCCTCATCCAACTGAGATAAAACAGAGCCCAACAGGATTTAGAGAATAAAAATTGCATTTATTGCAGTGATATTTATTGAATATAAATGCGGCCTCATCCAGCTTAACTAAAACAGAGCCTAACGGAATTTAGAGAATAGAAATTGTATTTATTGCAGTGATATTTATCGAATATAAATGCTGCTCATCTAGTTGGGATAAAACAGGATTTAGAGAATAAAAATTGGATTTATTGCAGCGATATTTATCAAATATTGAATATTCTGGGTGGTCTGCAGGCTAAACAGAATTTAGAGAAAAAAAATTCTATTTATTGCAGTGGTGTTTATTGAATATTTCATATTCAGGACGGTCCATGGGCTAAACAGAATTTAGAAAATAAACAATTCTATTTATTGAATATTTTATATTCAGGGCAGTCCACACTCTAAACAGAATTTAGAGAATAAAAATTCTATTTATTGCAGTGATATTTATCGAATATAAATGCTGCCTCATCCAGCTTAGATAAAACAGAGCCTAACGGGATTCACAGAATAAAAAATTCTACCTATTGCAGTGATATTTATAGAATATTTTATATTCAGGGCGGTCTGCAGGCTGGACAGAATTTAGAAAAAAAATTCTATTTATTGCAGTGATATTTATTGAATATTTTATATTCAGCATAGTCCACAGGCTAAACAGAATTTAGAAAATAAAAAATTCTATTATTGCAGTGATATTTATCGAATATAAATGCTGCCTCATCCAGCTGAGCTAACGGGATTTAGAGAATAAAAAATTCTATTTATTGCAGTGATATTTATGGAATATTTTATATTCAGAATAAAAAATTCTATTTATTGAATATTTTATATTCAGGGCAGTCCACAGGCTGAACAGAATTTAGAGAATAAAAAATTTTATTTATTGAATATTTTATATTCTGGGCGGTCCACAGGCTGGAAAGAATTTAGAGAATAAAAAAATTCGATTTATTGCAGTGATATTTATGGAATATAAATGCTGCCTCATCCAGCTGAGCTAAAACAGAGCCTAACAGGATTTAGAGAATAAAAATTCTATTTATTGCAATGATATTTATCAAATATTGAATATTCCGGGCAGTCCACAGGCTGGACAGAATCTATTTATTGAATATTTTATATTCAGGGCAGTCTACAGGCTGAACAGAATTTAGAGAATAAAAATTCTATTTATTGCAGTGATATTTATCAACTATAAATGCTGCCTCATCCAGCTTAGATAAAACAGAGCCTAACGGGATTCACAGAATAAAAAATTCTATTTATTGCAGTGATATTTATCGAATATAAATGCTGGCTCATCCAGCTTAGATAAAACAGAATTCAGAGAATAAAAATTCTATTTATTGCAGTGATAGTGAATATAAATGCTGCCTCATCCAGCTGGGATAAAACAGAATTTAGAGAATAAAAATTCTATTTATTGCAGTGATATTTATCGAGTATTTTATATTCAGGGCGTTCCACAGGCTGAACAGAATTCAGAGAATAAAAAATTCTATTTATTGAATATTTTATATTCAGGGCAGTCCACAGGCTCAACAGAATTTAGAGAATAAAAAATTCTGTCTATTGCAGTGATATTTATTGAATATTTTATTTATTGAATATTTTATATTCAGCATAGTCCACAGGCTAAATGGAATTAAGAGAACAAAAATTTCCATTTATTGCAGTGATATTTATTGAAAATTTTATATTCAGGGCGGTCTGACAGAACTTAGAGAATAAAAAATTCCATTTATTGCAGTGGTATTTATGGAATATTGAATATTCCGGGCAGTCCAGGGGCTAACCAGAATTTAGAGAATAAAAAACCACAGGCTAAACAGAATTTAGAGAATAAAAATTCTATCTATTGCAGTGGTATTTATGGAATATTGAATATTCAGGGCGGTCCACGGGCTAAACAGAATTTAGAGAATAAAAATTCTATTTATTGCAGTGATAGTGAATATAAATGCTGCCTCATCCAGCTGAGCTAAAACAGAATTTAGAGGATAAAAATTGGAGTTATTGCAGTGATATTTATGGCATATTGAATATTCCGAGCAGTCCACAGGCTGAACAGAATTTAGAGAACAAAAATTCTATTTATTGCAGTGGTGTTTATTGAATATTTCATATTCAGGGTGGTCCGCAGGCTGGACAGAATTTAGTTAATAAAAAATTCTATTTATTGAATATTTTATATTCAGGGCAGTCCACAGGCTAAACAGAATTTAGAGAATAAAAAATTGTATTTATTGCAGTGATAATGCATTGGGTCAGGTGGTGCTGGAAAATCAGAGCTTCCCATCCACTCCCTGCTGATATTTCAGGGTTTTTCATGGTTTTTTATAGGTTTTTTGTGGGGTTTTTTGCATTTTCTCGTATTTTTTCATGATTTTTCATGCTTTTTCTTGGGTTTTTTGGTGGGTTTATTATGGGTTTTTTGGTGTTTTTTTGGTGGTTTTTTTTGTGTTTTCTCNCTATTTATTGCAGTGATATTTATCAACTATAAATGCTGCCTCATCCAGCTTAGATAAAACAGAGCCTAACGGGATTCACAGAATAAAAAATTCTACCTATTGCAGTGATATTTATTGAGTATTTTATATTCAGGGCGGTCCACAGGCTGGACAGAATTTAGAGAATAAAAAATTCCATTTATTGCAGTGATATTTATGGAATATTGAATATTCAGGGCGGTCCATGGGCTAAACAGAATTTAGAGCATAAAAATTGTATTTATTGCCATGGTAATTATGGAATATAAATGCTGCCTCATCCAGCTGCGATAAAACAGAATTTAGAGAACAAAAATTATATTTATTGCAGTGATAGTGAATATAAATGCTGGCTCACTCAGCTGGGATAAAACAGAATTTAGAGAATAAAAATTGGATTTATTGCAGTGAAATTCATCCAATATAAATGCTGCCTCATTCAGCTGAGATTAAACAGAATTTAGTGAATAAAAATTCTATTACTGCAGTGATATTTATGGAATATTTTATATTCAGGGCGGTCCACGGGCTAAACAGAATAAAAATTTCCATTTATTGCAGTGATATTTATCAAATATTGAATATTCCAGGCGGTCTGCAGGCTTAACAGAATTTATTTATTGAATATTTTATATTCAGGGCAGTCCATGGGCTAAACAGAATTTAGAAAATAAAAATTCTATTTATTGCAGTGATATTTATCGAATATAAATGCTGCTTTTTTGTCATTTTTGTGGGGGTTTTTTGCGGGGTTTTTGCGGGTTTTTTTGTGTTTTTTTGTGGGTTTTTTATGTGGTTTTTTTGTGTAATTTTTTTTGTGGTTTTTTGTGGTTTTTTTGGTGGTTTTTTGTGGGGTAATGCATTAGGCCAGGTGGTGCTGGAAAATCAGAGCTTCCCATCTGCTCCCTGCTGGTTTTTTGTGGTTTTTTTCATGATTTTCCGTCATTTTTTGGT